CCTCATGTCACCTCCGGGAGGCAGATGTTTTTACCTCAAATGGATGGTGGCAAAATTGAGGCTTAAGCCTAAATTCACATTGAATCAGTAGCAGAACTAAGATTAGGATCCCCATCTCCTAACTCTCAGCTTCCCTCCTGACTCCCAGAATCTATCATTGATAAGATAACCCTGTCCACTTACTCCCACTTGAGCACCCCAGAGATAGACTGTCAGGTAAAGCAGACCACTTAGTAACAGAGCAGCTTGGAGCGTGCTCCCTGCTTCTGAGCACCAAACATCTGACGAAAGCCTGAGCACAGCCTGGGGGCACACACTCAGAGCCACTCAAAGCCATCTATGCAGCTTCATTGCCAGGCTCTGGTGCATCCAGCTGGAACGAGTGGATGGACTACTTTTGTCAGCCTTGAAGCTAATATCAGGGGGGAAGCCATACAGATTTGCCCTCGGTCCTTCACCTCAAGCATGAGGGCAGTCTTGTGGGAATTGTCGTAGGTCCTTGCTGGCAGTGAGGCAGGTTAACCAGAGCATCCTCTTCTCCTCTCTTCAAGATATTTTGAAGAAGTTTAATCCAAATATTTTTGGCTTCTCTACTGGCACCACGAAGGAAATGGCTGGGTTCAACGTAGCTGCAGCTGGAGCCAAAGCACTGTAAGCACAACTGTAAGCTATGCAGGCAGGGGGATTGTGGGCTGTGGAGCTGATGAATCAGCAGCTTAAATGTAAATTGCATGCCAAGGTTGAATTGTGGCTCTTGAGTTAATACTAATTAGCAAACCTGTTACTATTTGATTACTGATCCCACCTATTTATATCATGCAAGTCACGTGGTCTAATCTTTATTTAGAATAGCTGGGGGATTGAGTAGGTGCTTGTGATTTTTCCAGCATGGGAGGGACTTCTCTTAATCCAACCTCTTCCATCCAGATCTTCCAATATCTGGTCCACTGTCTTATGCAGAAGCTCCCAATCCTAACAATGAATTTTCCTACAAGCCTTTTACATGCTGGTCACCCGTGTCAGCATTGGTTTGTCATGATCCAAAAATCAGTACTACCCCACAGCTATTTACTTCTGGGAAGCAAGCTGCTGTGTCTCATTTGACGTCTAGTGAATGCCACCATAACTGGCAATAAAAACTGTGCTTACTGGCATCATTACTCTGCAGGGCCCATGGTAACCAAATTGTCACAGAGCAGAGTTTTCGGGGAGAGACAGCGGTGGCATTCTGCCACACAGGGGGTGCCTTGTTTAGTCTTCCTCTGTCTGTTCCCACTCATGAGCTGTCACTTTCCCTGGGCAGCCCCTCTTAGCCCTGAAGTTCCATAAAATGATGAAAGGGGGAGCAAGGAGGAGAAATCGCAGCGTTTGCAAGCTGCTTCCTTGTGCTTCTCATTTCAGAGCAGGGGGCTGAATACTCTTTTTTTCCTCTTTCCATAGCAATATGTCAACCCAGGCCCGTACACTGGTGGAGCTAATGAGAAACAGCTTGGTAAGTATCTGACTTCGTAGATAACTAGAGAGCTAGCAATTATTCAGGTCATCCCTAACTATTCTTTCCATTGGTCTTTCCATAACCCAGTGGGGATCAACCTGGTAGGCAGCCCTGCCACAAATTAAGCCTGGGGCCCCTGATCCCCTTCCCCTGCCTGATCTGTGGTTCTGCTTTCTTCTTACTGCCCTATCTGCTACTGCACTTCCTGTGCCTTCCTCCATATGCCGCATGCCACACACACAGGTTACCTGTGCCACATGTGCTGTGTGTTGGCCACCCTGGCCCTAACCTCTTAACCTCTTCTCATCCTGTGCAGTGCATATGAATGGTGATAGTGGACCATTCACAGCTGGAAGACTCAAGGATTTGTCCCAGGGATTTTTCATGTGTATGTGCAGAGGGTTAGTCATACCTGCCAGGAGGTTACTATTATTAATACATTAGTACCCAGAGACCTGGGTTTCCCATTGGGCTGGATGTTGTACCTACACATAAGAAGACATTGATTCCCTTCCCTGAAGAACTAAGAACCTAAAATTAAGACAATAGGTAACCAATAAGCTAGCAAAGAATAGGAAGGAGGGTGAAGGAGGGTGAAGGAGGTGAAGGTGATGACCAGAAGGTTATACAGGTGGGCAATAACCACAAATTACTGAACCATTTAAGAGTTGATGTGAGGAAGGCTGGGAAGCATCCACGTAGGTTGAGAGAAGGAAGGGACAGGACCAGGAGATGAATATGACTGGTGGCTAGGGGTCAAGAATAAGGAAGGTAGGGGCAGAAGGAAGAGCAGGGGTATAAATGTAGACTGGTAACAGGCTGAGGCAGTGGTGACAAAAAACAAATAAACTAAGCTAAGCACAAGAGTGAGCCGGGCGTCTGATGGAACAGGGTGAGAGGACCTGCCCAGAGCTTCTGCTCCAAAGAGATGATGGTGCTGTGCTGGTGAGGGGTGATTACTTGGCCCTAGCCTTTCCTGTAGGTCAGGACTTTTGAAGCCTTGCATCTGGGCAGGTAAAGGATTTGTGACTGGCTGTAGGAAGGGTGAATCCTGATGGTGTCCAATGGGAGTGTAAGGGGACCACTGCTCACCATCTACTGGGGGCTAGGGAGGGAACTAGGGTTCCTTGGCTTTTACTAGCAATATAACTGCTGTATTTCTGGTGTGTATGTACATCTGCCCACATATGCACACATATATGGGGGTGACGGGAAGGAGAGGGTGAAGACAGCCTAATGGTTAGCGAAGCCTGTGTGAGAGACAGGTTGTTTTGAAGTAGCTTGTTGGGCCTGGGATAGGGCAGGGATGCCTGGTGCTCCCTGGTTTCTGTCTAACAGTGAGTAAGGATACTGCAAAAAGCTGACTCCTCCAAAGCATGTGTGCCTGTGTAACTGCATGCTTGACAGATACCTTGGACACGGTTCATTCTTTTGGCAGTAAGGGGAAGTGAGAAAGGAAAATCCCTCCTTCTCTCTCTTTCTCCCCCCTCCTTCCTTTCTCTCTTACAGAGCAGCTGACTGTGTAGCTCTCGTGTTCAGTGCAATGTGTTTCCTTTTGTTCATCTCTCTAAAAACTGGGGGGAGGTCTCTGCCCTGCCTTGCACACTGGCAGAAGCTGGTGTGGACAAAATGTCAGGCTAGGAGGAGACTCCAGGCTGGTAGGTGGTTCCCAGGCCCCTTCTCTATCCGTGGGTTAGATTCACAGATGTTGTTATGTAAACGCTCTGCTCCAAAAATAGATGACTCGGATTCCTTTCTTTGTACTACATGTTACAAAATGTTTTCACTGAGTTCCAGCTCTCAGCAGCCCCTGTTGTTGGTTGGTGGTGACGTATGCTTAGCAGCTGCCCTTATATGAGCTCAGTGAAGTCACCAGGCTCCTGGACTCTTCTGTTTGAATCCAGCTGTCTGTCCTCTGGGGCGCAGCCCTCTCCTGTTTTGGCTTGCCTGCACAGGGCTCACTCTACTGACAGGGCTTCTCAAGGACTCTGAAATCCACTGAAGTGGCATTAGTGCATTGTTTTCTAATCCTCCCTCTCTCTCTTTCAATCCACATTTGCTACACCCAGTTGGTACTCATTGGTGAGTCTCCCCATCGCAGCCCCCACAGCCAAAATCCATTTGTTACTGTGATCTCCCAGTGATGCATGCAGTGGCAACCCTGACGATGTACCAAGGGGCTGCTGATTCCCTTTTCTGAAGGGAATTTCATAACAAAAATCAGGATGTGTGTTAGCTTGGCTAAGAAATATACTCTCTTCCAGCCCCTGCCTTTCTCTCTTTCTCTTTCTCTCTTGCACTCTCTCTCTCTCTCTCTCTCTTGCACAATTTCTCCCCCTCTCTCTTACACACACACACACACACACACACACACACACTCTCTTTTTTATATACACA